GAAACAGAAAATGTTCAAATGAGAAAGGGACCAAGAGAGGTGGAGAGGAAAGAAGGGACAAGAAAAAGAGAATGAAAGAAAACAAACTTTTCTAAATTAGGAGGGCAAAGGGGAGGAGATTAGGGGAAAAAAGAAGAAGCAAGATATAGTATGAACAGGTTGAACTCCCTATGATGAGTGTGATCCTTATATATATATATATATCAAAAAAGTACAAATAAAATTACACACAGACACACACAGAGACACACACAGACACAAAAGAGTACTGGCACATTGCATTTCCTCTCTGATCTTCTAGTTTGTCTTAATGAGTGTGTGCTTTTACAATAGAATTCCACAAACTTGTGGCCTACGAATAACAGAAATGTGTCTCCCAAAACTCTGAATGTGAAGAATTCCAAGTGGAAGATGCTGAAAACGTTAGCCTGTTAAGGATCTGCTTCCTGTTCCTCACCGGAGGCCGCCTGCGCTTTCCTCACATGGGGAAGAGTTGGGCAGCTGTCTTTAGGAGAGCTCTGATTCCATGGATGAGGAGCTGGCATCAGTGACTTAATCACGTCCGAACGCTTATGTTGCACTCGTGTTCCATTGGTGATTAATTTCAATATATGCATTTGAGAAGACAAACACTTAGAACATAGAACAGTTAAGTATGTTTGTTTGATGACTACTTATAAGTGTCATTACTAGTGATAGTCCTTTTTCTGTGAACTAAAAATGTGTTTAAGTGCATAGTTTTTCTGTCATCAATTTCTGCTGAATCAGTTTAGTGATTGATTCAATTTCCATCAGCTGGTATTAGTCCTTCCTAAATAGAATCTTACTATTATTTCATTTTTCTTTGTGATCTGTTATTTCATCATTCTGGTCTTTGGTACAAAATATTATTATTAGTTTAATGTTGCTGGGATTTTTAAAAAATTAGCTAAAAATGTAAAGTTTATTTTTAAAAATTAGCTATTGATGCACAAAATAAGCTTCATTAATTTTATACAATTATACTTTTTGTGATTTTACATTTAAAATGACATTTAAAATTACTCTTTGAATATACTTAAAATTACTTTCAATATTTTCCTTGCAGTTGTTAAAAAGTTTTTGAAAAGTTGATTTCTGAAATGCAAACATTTCTATTTAAGGCTTGCTTTAACATAACAATATTTATAAAACTTCAGAAACAATTTAATAAATGATATTTTTAATTTTGGTCGCTAAAATCACAAGCAGACAGAAATCTAAAGAATAATAGGAGAAACTGGGAAAAAATGAAGAAAAGAGAGAAGGAGAAAGGGATGAAAGGAAGGAGAATGTCGAAGGAAAAGGAAAGTCGTAAGAACAAAAAGAAGGAAAGAAGGAAAGGGAAGAAAGAGTAACGTGCACATATATCAGTGCGCATCAAAAATTCTTTGTTCCCAAATTAAAGAATTTACTGGAAGTTTATCAAATGAAGCAATGGTTTTATGTTTTTTATATTTCAGCAATAGTGCAATTCATTATAAAACTATATTTGCAAATTACTTGCAAAATATTCATCAATTGGCAGAAAAAATTTCAAGCTTTTAACCTTTTTATGAAGACTCCATGAGAGTATGAGATTCACTTTATTATGCTAGTAGTTCTCTTAACTAGTTTGCAAGGTAATTGTCAAAATGGTTTTTAGTACCAATGACAAAGAACTAGAAAATATGGTTTCTGAAGAGTATCAATAAACATAATAATCACTTGATATACATAAAGCACAAAACCAGATTTTATTTATTTATTTATTTATTTTGTTTCCTTTTTGATGGATCTCATTTTGCTGCCAAACGTGGCCTTGAATTTCTGGACTCAAACAATTTACTTGCCTTAGTCTTTCCAGTAGCGAGGATCAGAGGTTTGTGCCACTGCGTACAGCTCCATTTGTGGTCTCCATTGAGGGTTAGCTTCAGTCTCACTCTCTATGTACTGCCCTTCCATGAGTACATGCCTTGACTTTCAGGTTTTCTTCTGAAATCTGGGTTTCACCCTTCCTGACACCCACAACTCTTGTCTTTTACATGTCTATAAAACTAGTACATGTGGACAATACCAAATTGTGCTGCCAGATGAGGCAGTAGCCAGTCCCTCTTGGGCCATGACTTCAGAGGTCTCTGAGTGCCTGTATGTCTGAGTACTATGAAAGAAAACCCTGCAAACACATTCCTTAGGTGGCTCTAACACTGTCCTCTGGGGCTCAGTTCTCAAATGGAAACTTTATAGCCTGGTAAACCTGGAGCCTGTGAAATTAGAGGTCTTGCTGATTCATGTCATTGTCTCAAACTGTTTTTCCCATTCTCTTGTTTTAAAAGTATTTGACCTTTTAAAAAAGAATACTAATCCTTTTTCAGTCAAACTCTCCCCTTTTACATCGTTGTGGGCTCCTTCTTCTTGCCACACAGAAACCTTTGTTAGATTTACATTTTTTTTTTTACTACTTCTCACAGTAGATCTCCCTCAAGAGGCAAGTGGTAGCCATGCTACAGCCTTAATGTGGATTGAATTTTCCTCTGCCAGGTTAGTTTGATTCTTTTACCGTGAGTGTCTCCTAAAGTTTTAGGACATTAACAAAATGTAGGCAAATTTTCTGCTACAGCAAACCACACATGGTCAGTAGCCCAGTTGCCATTCAAATCCTTGTTCCCAAATGAGAGAGCCTATATCTGACCTCTATCTGCAGAATTTCTACTGATCTAATTTTCAGAGTTCCAGTTTGATTTTCTGAGTTCTAATCCGAATCTCCTGTCAACCTTGGCTTATGGCATTCTAGGATTGCTTCTCTAGGTAACATATCCAAACTACCAAACTCCTCCTGTGAACTAGTTCCAAAGGTTTTTGAATCATCTGGTCAACTAGCATCACAGCAATGATTCCAATTCTCTGGCAGTAAAATCTAAGGCACTTTTCTTCTTGCTGGGACAAAGTAATTGTCAGCTACGACTTAAATGAAGAGAGATCTATTTTGGCTGTTTCTGAAGTTTGAGTGTCATGCTAGAAGGGTCCGGTGTGCAGGAAAGCCACTTTCATGTCCTGGGACCCAGGATACAGATTGTAAATAGTAGAACCAGGGCATGATACTGTTCCAGGTCATAATCCACTGTGATCCTACCATTTTCCTGTCTTATCACATCACTTTTAGCTGTAGTTCCCTCGTAATTCAATGACCTTTTCAAAGCTCTGCCTATGAGTGCTGAGACGGGGGAAACATCTAGATGTAAATCATAACATCCTCCAAACTCTGATTAAGTCAGAATACAGTTTGATGTGCATGTGGAAATGAAAGTCCCAGCTTATGAATATAAAAGAAAAGTAGAAAAAACATTGTCAGTTTTTAACATTCAATTATTCTGAAATGGTGTCAGCTTGCATGTGAGTACTAATTTTTGGACATCTAGCAAAATAGAATTTTGCAAATGATAACATATATACATGTAAACAGACTCACACACATAAGATTCAATATTAGTTCATTTATGCTGTATTTAAAATTGCTTCTAGGGGAATAATTACCAGTATAAAAAATGGAAACAGTATTGATAGGACTTTGACAAATATTTTCAGTTCACAGTTTTTATATAACAATAGTATTACATTCATAAGTAGGTTTAATTATTGTAGCTTCCTGAAAAATTATAATTATAGAATTATGACTTTGAAGTTATAGTATTAAATTACATGTCCAAATGAAAATTTACCTAGACGAACATTTTGACTTAGTTGTTCTTTAGACAAACATAGTGCTTTAGATAATTTTAAAATCTTACAAACTCTAACAACAATTGGTTTTTCTTTTAAGTAATTATTATTTAGAAAATTTTGAAAGAAAAAATTGGTTTTGAGAAGTATTTCAGAGAATTCCATAACTAAATCAGTCTATTTATTTTGGTGGAAATAGACTAATAAGCAATGAAGTCTTTCTTGTAATGATAGATCTAGCAATTATTTTGTAGCTATGTTATGTAAAATATGCTGAATATATCTATCTAGTACAATATGTACGAATAGAAAAGCGTTGTACCATGTTTGTATTTATGAATGTCATAATAGTATAGATGCATATTACCTAGACGAATAATATACCAGCAATGAAACAATAGCGTGTCTGTGTCTTATGGGTTGAACTGTGTTCCTCCCAAATTTTATAGGCTGAATTCTTAAACATGAACACATCAAAATATTACCTAGTGTAAAAATAAGCAGATTTCATTAGCTAAGATAAGGTCATACTGAGTCTGGGGATATAGCTCAGTGGCACAAACGCCTGCCTGGGAAGTGTGAGCTCATGAGTTCAATCCCTGGTACCGGAAAAAAAGTGTTAAAAAAAGGAGACGGTCATACTGGAGCATGGTGACTCTCTAATCTAATATAACTGATGTCCTTATAATAAAAATGGGAAATTTGAATCCATTCATATGTAACAGAAATGCTTAAATGAAAATGAAGCTAGATATTACGTGGTGCTTCTACAAACCAAACAATACAAAAGGTGACCAGCACACCACAGAAGACAGGTATCAAACAGATTATTCTTCACAAACTTAGTCCTCCCAATACTTTTATTTTAAAATGTTAGGCCTTAGAACTGTGAGACAAGATGTTTTCATTTTTTTAACCATGTAGTTTGTAGGACTTTACATTAGCCATAGCCAATTAATTTGCTACATTGTAGCATAATAAAAATATAGATATATCTCTACTTAATACTAATATATTTATACTGATCTGGCTACCTAATTATCCAATACAAAATGTAGTGCCAACTTTCTGAAAGACAAAAGATTCTAACACAAAGTAAAAAGTATGATTGTTAGGTTAGATGAGGAATCATTTTATTTTATTCAAATATCTGAAATCTAGGAACTTCAGCTGTAATTGTGCTTGCTGATGTGGGTAATGTTTATGAAAATATAATAGCTTGTAGAAAAGTAATAAAGTGTTGGAAATGGCCGTTAAGTTTATTTAATCCAGCCCCAGTCACCGTACTGGTGTACTATCAGTCAGACCTCTGAATGACAGCCAATTATTTCTTTTCATAGGAGCAAACTGAGGAGTAGGACTGACTGCCTAAAGGCACCAGGAAAGAGCTTAAAAGAAGAAACAATAATTAGACTGAGCTGCGATGTAGACAAGAAAGGCAGATTCCCCTAAGGGAAGAGAGGAATGTATAAGAGAGAAATGTGAGTAGTTCTTCAGAAAACTGACCAGACCAAATTGAGAAGAGCCCTATCATCTACACAAAGGAGCAATGTGTCCTGAGCTATAGTTAGATAAGAAGAAGTTTGTGTGCTATTGCATACTGGGGGAACTAGAGATGTCAATAATGCTTCACCATAAAGAAATAACAGAAAATTGAGAAGACAGATATATTTGGACATCACACACTCTAGACATGTGGTGACATAACACCTGGCACTCAATAAATACGCAAATGTTTATGTTTTAATGGGTATGTTAAAAAAGAAAGGCAGGAGAGTGTGGAAATGTGTTACGTGCTAGGAAGGTTATAAACTCTTTTCAACCTAGGAGTAATAAGATAAAAAGCAAATTCTGTATATGTTTTAGGAATCTTATATTTGTGAAAGAACAAAAACACTTTGCAGGAGATCAAAACAGCACTATGTATAAAAGAAATCCATGTGCTTGTTTAGTATTGATTTGCAGGGACTGGGGTTAAAGCTCAGTGATATAAGCACCTACCTGGCAAGTGCAAGGTCCTGAGTTTGATTCCCAGTACCAAATCATAAATGAATAAAGTCCTGATTTGCAGTTCCACATTTGAGCACCTCCTGTCAGCAGGTTCTATTGCACATGTCTCTCACTACCATGACTTCTATGCATTGGCCACACTGAAATTATGTGAACTGTATAAATTTACATTATCTTTATGGTGTTATGGCTGTGTATAAGCTAAACTTATAGGGTGAAATAACATTCCTCTAATTTGGAGGCTACCAAAATGTTATTTCCCTTTCAGATACTACTTGGAAATCGCTAACATCTGAAGTACCCTTGTGACATGCAGCTTACTTGTGAGATTCCTGGCATGGTTATTGGGCCATGGGGGCGATGCATTCATCAGCATCAGTCCCCTGAGGTAAGCACCCCCTTTGCTCAGTTGGCCCGGCTGAAGGGGGTGACTGATGGGGTGCACTGTGGGAGGACAGACCTCTTGCTGGTGCTCTGCTTCTCCGCTCTGCTTCCCAGCCAGGGAACTAAGCAGCCCTGCTCCAGCACACCCTTGTTTCTGCCTCGGAGCCAAACACCTAAGACTGGATTCTCTGAAGCCATGAGCCAAAGAAACCTCCTACTGTTTAAGTTAGGTATATTGGTTATTTTTCCCAGCATGGGGAAAGCTCACTAATACCATCTCCAAACAGCCAAAACAGTACTGTTACTTACCCATTCTGGCCTCAAAACACTTCTGAATTTCCCTCTGTAGCCGAATTTATTCCACTGTATTATTCATATTTGCCCAACTTTGTGAATAATATCCAGAAACACTTGTCCTCTGAGACTATATATTTGTTATATTTGTGCTTGCTTTGGCAGCACATATACTAAAATTGGAATTATACAGAGAAGATTGCCATGGCCCCTGAGCAAGGATGACATGCAAATTCATGAAGCATTTCGTATTTTTTTGGGCCGAGGATTTAGCTCGGTGGCATAAGCGCCTGCCTGGCAAGCACTACGTCATGAGTTCGATCCCCAGTATAAAAAAATTGCATTTATCTTTATCTTTGATTTTCAGTCTTGTACACAATATAATATTAATAAACATTATGTATATGAAAAGAATGAATGTCACTCTTGGAGGCTTCATGTGGGAAATTAGAAGATAACTAAAATGTCGTGTTAAAGATTACCTTTCTTATATGCCCATTGCACAATACACACAAAACTAATTGGGGACTTCTCTGTATAGCCTGATTTCACTACTTATTATTATTATCAATATTATCATTATTATTTAGATTTTTTTTGAGTGAGGGTCTCATTCTATAATTTTGGCTGGCCTTAGACCTTGGATTTAGTATGTAGCCAGTGTTCTGGTATTATAAGTGTTCTCCACCGTGCCCAGCCTCTTTTTAATATTTTTGAGGCATTGCTCTATACTAATAATGTTAAAATTTCATTAACATTTGACATAATATCAAAATCAATAATGATATTTTAGAAGAAAGCTTGCTTATGGTTGAATTTATGAAGTAAACTATGCAAAATGAGGACTTACAAATAATTTATAACAAGTGTTTTGAAAGACCAAAAATTTATTTATAAAAGGAAATTGTGGCATATTTACTATTGTTTTAATCTACTGAGCAGGGCATGGTGGCACATGTCTGTAGTCCCAGCACTTTGAGGCTGAGGCAGGAAGATCATTGTGAGTTCAAGACCATCCTGAGTTACAAAATGAGCATAAGGCCAGCCTGAACTTCATAGTGAGACCCTGTCTTGAAATCACACACACACACACACACACACACACACACACACACACACACATACACACAAAAGAGAGAAAGAAAAAAACACTCTTGTTCTTGTATTTTTTTCCTAAACTCATAAGTAAAATTTTTTAAAAATTGAATTTTGGTTCTATATAGTTTAAAACATAGAGAACTGATCATTAAATAATATTCAATTTGAAGTTAAGAAAATGACTCTGTCAGATTTAATGCTCTTTTACTCTTTCTTCCTCCATAGCTGCGTTTCATTATCAGGTCCAGGGACAGAGATGTGGCTTTGCAGATTGAGGTGAGGTCATGAAGTTGAGTACTTGGCAGAGTGTGGCTCTCTGGACCTCTTTCACTCTCGGACTGTCTGTTGGCCACAAAGAAGCTGCTTGATGTGCTGGCAACTGCAGTGGGAAACCTCAGCAGCGTTAATTTATGTCCTGGCACTTTTGGCCTCATTTCAGTTTTGTGTCTTAGAAGACCCTCTTGGCATCTGGATGAGGCTCCGTTCAGCTGCAGTTCAGAGCTGGAAAGGTACTTGCTATGAGGAAATCCTTGGAAAAAATACAAAATTAAAAACTATTGATTAATTGTAATATCATTCAAATGGTAGGCTTAGGTCAGAGTGGATGCCAGTATTTCTCACACAAGAATTTAATGCAGAAAATGATGATAAAATTATTTTACAGTGGATTAGACTTTTTCAATCTTTTTTTTCCTAAAAGCTCATCCTTAAGCCATATAATCATTAGTGATTTTCAGTAATTGCCTCTCTTCAGAATCTTTTTGCTACCATAAATATGAGGTCCCATAGCATTACCTCAATGAATTCCTTATAAATGCTTCTGAGAATCATTTTTAATATATTTCTCAACACATCGTTTATATTTGTGTGTGGATGAGCATATATGCATAGTGTGTGTGCTTATAACTCTACATGTGAATACAATTTGGTGAGTTCAGTCCTTAATTATATTTGTTGAATTAATTAAATATTCTTGCTAATAAATAACATAAATAAGATCCAATTCGTCTGTGTTAGAGTCAAAGTTGCTTTACGGAAAAAACTATAGGTCCAACTTTTCAAAAGTTTATGTAGAATAGTTATTGAACAGGTTTACTAACTTGGTTACCTTGACTAGAATTGGTTATGTTTTAACAATGCAAATGAAGTAATAACAAAGTAGTAAGGAACACGATTTCAAAGTTTAGACTATATGAGCTACCTCTAAATTGCAAATAATAATAACTTCACAAAATTACTGAAAGTATTTGATAAAATTATACTTCTCAAAGATTATCATCTGTTGACTTTCAAACAAAAAAAAAGTAATGAACGCCATAGTTTGAGTTATTAATCTGCATTATTACATATAAGTTTCTGACTAGGAAAGTGGAAGTTGGATATGAGTGAAATATGAGATAGATCCCACGTACCAAAAAGAAAACATTAAAAAAAATTGACGCTATCATCTTATATTTCTTCACCTTATTTTAACAAAGGTGGGAAGATCTTTCATTTTAGTCAGTTATTAATGTATGGATTTACTATATAATTTACATATGAAAGCAATTTCAGTAACTATTATATACATGCATACAGTGACTTCGCTCTTGAGGCTTATGACTCTCCGGGTGAAAGGTTACATATTAAAATTTCACTGCTGGAAATTGTCAGGAAAGAAATCCTGAATATAGTATGGCCCAGTGGCTTTTAAATTATAGTTGAAAGGAAAAAAATAATTGAAATTTGCTTCAAAGTTATGAATATTGAACACATTCCTTTGGAACAAGGTTCTTAAGATACTACTTTATTGTTGTTCTTTCAATAAGTGGAAGGAACCTCATTGTCTAAAAGTCTTAACACAGATCTTAAAGAACTAAAGCAGATTTAAAAAGATGTCCTCAGTTTAAGGAATGTGAATACACTACTAACGGCAGCCACGATTATTCTTCCTTGCAACTTCCCTGACTGTTTGAACCCTATTGCTGAAATCTCTGATTTGGAGATCTGAAAATTACTCATTTAAGGAAATTTCATTTATGCTCTCAAACTACTCAGGAAATCAAAGAACTATTTCCTCAGGTTTTATTATATTTGTTCTCCATTCTTTTAATCATTTAAAACTTGTTACTGAATGATGACTTTGGACCAGACAGTCATCTTGGTACCAGGTTATAGCCATTACACAACAGCCAAGAGTCTGTTTCTTGGATCATGGCATATTATTAAAAGTTTGTAGTTAGGAAGTATAAATGACCAACGTATAGAAGGTAGTATTACAAATATTATTGCATGTACCAGCAAGGTCTGTGAAAATGATAAATTGCAGAATCATTTAGAGTGCTTGGGTTGCAGAAGTGAATCCCTTTAGGAAGGTGCCTGAATGAACCTGGTAAAGTCTTCCATGAAGCAGAAGAAGCCTTGCCACAATCTCAAACACTATTGAATTAGCCTTATCTGATAATCAGAAAGAAGATAAGTTGTAAAGAAGTTTGGGAAGTACTCTTCAACAAGATTGGGTCAAAAGTAAAGCGAGAAGTTGCACCTTCTCCCAAAGTCCAAGTGAAAGCCAAGAAGGCTTTGGGAAAGCCATTCACTGCCATAAGAGAAGGAGAATCTTCCTCTTACCCATTTCTGGCAACCCAAGAAGTTGCGGTTCCAAAGAAAGCCCTCATAGCCTCAGATGAGTGCCTCCAGGAGAAGCAGGTTTGACCACTCTTCCATCCTCAATGTCTACCTGATCACTGAGTCTGCACTGAAGAACTGAGAACGTGTGTTAATTTTGGTTGTCAAGGCCAACACATATTAAAGCAGACAGACTGTGAAGGGCTGTAGGGTGTTAGTGTAGTCAAGGCCAATGTCTTGATCAGGACTGAAGGAATAAAGAAGGCATACATTTGACTAACTTCTACTTTTTTAATGTTGATGGTAAAATTGGATCATCTAAACTGAGTCCTCCCTCAGATTTTCACACATACATTTTCTGCACTACAAGAAAGCAGTAGGACCAGCAGCTCTGTGAGAAAACCAGAAAAATGATAGTCAAGGTGCAGTTTGTACTGGTCCTTGTAGAGCCCGGTAAGAGGTCAGACTTTTATCCAAGTGAAAAAAAAAAGTATATTATTGGAGAATTGCAGAAGTATTAGAGTTATTAAAAAACATTTTTTTTTTTTTTTTTTTGGAACCAGGTATCACACTCAGGAAGGGTCAGGCAGGCGCCACACTGCTAAGCTTTATCCCTGGCCCTAGATTTATGTCTTATAAAGATCTTGCCCAAACAAGACAGAATGGTCTAGTAGCAAGAGAGGGAAGGAATACTTTGGAAATCCTTTCATTAGATAGAAGTCTGATGTTTTTGGGAAATCAAGGAAGCCTTTTCTTAATGTGTTCAGGGGAAAAATATTTGGTTTAAAATAGCTAAATATTTATTAAGCAATTCCTTTGTATTTTTTCCAATTAAAGATCATTTTACTGATTACTGTTGGCTTCCTGAATCACCTTTTTAAAATCGAATGAATTTCAAGCAGTCCAATGTGTCTGCTAGCACTGTTACTGATATTGTAAATATAGGTTCTGTCTTTTTTCTGCCATTTTGCTCATTCAAAAGCGTATTTGAAGTAGTTACCTACACAATATATAGTGTGTGTCTTTGAAATCAGTCTTTAATCAATTGTTTTGGTATTTTTATATGAATAAATATCATGATGAAATGATACATAAATTAAGTAATAAAAACTGGGTACATGAATAAGTATCCTAGACATTACATGAATGCATTTTAACTCATCAATCATTAATATTTTATTAATGTAACTTTAATCTAACAATTATTAATACTTTTTGTGTTTTCTATTCATATTCATTGCTCAAAAAGCCATTACTAAAATAAATAAAAGCAGTGGCTCTAAAGAAAAAACAAGATTATAATATCATTATCAAAGATCATCATAGCAACTAATACTAAAATATATAGCTGTATAAAACTAGAAATTATAAGGCAGTATTCTTCATTACAAATACAAGGAGCATTATATTTATTTCATAAGTATTTCCATGTTTTCCATATGAAATACAGGTAATGTACTTTGAATTTTTTCCTTAATCTGTAAGCTATATATACTATCACCAACATTTATGAAGCATTTACTGTGACTTTCTTAATTTGCCAAAACTGTACCACATTTATAAACTCCATTGTAAACAATGATGCATCTAAGTATAAATGTATTAATATTCAAGATCATGAGTCTGTTTTAATATTTTACATTAAATGATCTTTTATTTGTATATGATTATAAGTATTAAAGTTTTAGAATGTTTAACATTCCATAAAAAATATACCTAACAGGAATGCTAGATCAAGGTTTAAAATAAAAAAAAAATCAAGAAAATCTAATGTGATTATTCATAAATCAGTGTGTGTAGAATTAAAATTTTGACAGCATGCTAAGTTAGACTTTATGAAAAGCCTGTGCAATCTTGTGCACATCTTCTGATATTTCAAATATATGTAGCAACTCATTATATAAGAAATGGCCTAGATCTCAAGAGATCAGTTCAAATATATCTGAAAAAACATCTGCAAAGCTCACTTTTTGCAAAATTCAGTGTTTATTGTGTAACAGAAGTCACTCAATTCAAAACAAAATCATCTTTAAAAGGTTAAAATAAAGATCAAATAATTTAATGATTAAATAGTATGTTCAAAGGTCAGACATTATGTCCAATGCTTTAAAAAGCTTGGTAACTGACATTTCTTTTTGAAAGTGTTTACAACTTATAACATGGACTGTGATTTTACATATATACGATTAACATTTCTTATATGTTATTCAGTGTTCTTTTAGACATACAGCATTAAAGAAAATCACTTATAAACTGAACTCCTAAGATTATCTTAACTTCTTGTTCGCGTAGACATTTTTCCTAATAAATGTACCTCCTTCTAAATAAAGTCACCTTGTAGATACTGAGTTATTTCTCTTTTATTATTCATCATCTGGACAACCGTTCTGTCATTTAAAACTAAAGGAATCATATATCTCAGCTAACTTCTGTTATATTACCTCCTAGTCTTACATTATTTCCAGAAACTCCTTGTTTTTCTATGTCATGTTACTCTACTTTTATGTATGCAATAAAATATTTGATACACTGAATTTAGAGAAAAATTTAAATAATAGCACAAGAAATTTCTTACCAATATTTCATTTGAAATGAGTTTGAGTTTTTTCCAAAACAGCCCTATTTTCTCTTTCCTTAGCATCACATTGTGTTTGGATCTGATCAAATGACATTTTCAGAAGTAAGATATATGGCACATTCTATTGTTTTATTTTTCTTTGCAAAATACTAAGTAGAAAGATCCTTTAACTTTTTCTAATAGCACATCTTTCTCTTAAAGACGTAGGCAGAGCAACTTTTAGTTGAATCTTAGCATCAGGATCTATATTACCAAAACTATCTTTTTGTACTTGATTTTAGTTTAATTTTCTAGGAAAGTGAAACAAATTAAAGAGATAGATAGATAGTTAATAAAAAATATTTAAATGAATTTTATTCAAGATCAATTTGTCCACAAAATTTGGACTAAATCTCTCTCTGTCTCTCTCTCTGTCTCTCTCTGTCTCTCTCTGTCTCTCTCTCTCTCTTTCTATATATATATATATATATATATATATATATATATATATATATATATAAAATCATTTTATTACCAGGCTATTATCAAGCTGTCAAATACAATTAGTGGGTTCTTTTTAAAAAAATAAATAAAAAGAATTTATCTTCATGATACAGTGTACAACTGAGTTATTAATTCAAAGGTTATTTGCAATGAGTGAATCAGATCAAATCACACAATTCTTTTGGAAGTAAAAACATTACTGGGTTTTCAGAGAAATGTAGAAAATCATGGCTCTAATTTAACTGGTCTTCATGCATAATTATATGAAGGTAACCAACATATTGAACTAGCATTTTGTCACTTTTAGTGAAGTATGAACATGACACTGTGCCTTGATAATTACTTTTAATAAATTACTGACATCATTCAAGTGTATTGAATGCACAATTTTAAACTTGCCCCAGTTTATCTACCTTTATGCTACAGAAGCCATAATTTTCTCTTTTACTTTGGGATGGTTTTTTCTACTGAGGAACTCTAAATCTTTCTCTTCCCATAAATACGTGCACAT